TCGCAGTTATTATCCGAATTGGATGAAATTTGGCACAGCTCATCTATTTGGCCCAAGGACGAACCCTATTGAAATTGGGAAAAATCGGTTAAGATTTAGATATAGCTCCCATATATATTTTCGTCCGATTTAAGGTAAATGGTGCACCAAAGTACCTATATATCTTTCGATTTGTACCAAATTTGGCATATCGTACTAAAGTCTAGAGAGATGTGTGTACAATTTCGTGAAAATCGGTTCAGATTTAGATATAGCTCCCATATATAGTTTCGTCCGATTTTCAGTAAGTGATGCACCAATGTCCCTATATATCTTTCGATTTGCACGAAATTTGGCACAGCGTAATAAATAAGGTCTAATGTGTGTTTAGTTTCCTGAAAATCGATTTAGATTTAGATATAGCTCCCATATATATTTTCGTCCGATTTTATGTATATGGTGCAGCAAAGTCCCTATATATCTTTCGATTTGCACGAAATTTGACACAGCGTCCTCAATTATGTCAAGAACGATGTGTGCTAAGTTTTAAGAAAATCGGTCCAAATTTAGATATAGCTCCCGTATATATTATCGTCCGATTTTATGTAAATGGTGCACCAATGTCCCTATATATCATTCCATGTGCACGAAATTTGGCATAGTGTACTGAATGGAGTCTACAATAATGTGTGCAAAGTTTCGTCCAAATCGGTCCAGATTTAGATATAGCTCCCATATATATTATCGTCCGATTTTATGTAAATGGTGCACCAATGTCCCTATATATCATTTGATGTGCATAGCGTACTGAATTGAGTCTAGAATGATGTGTGCACCAATGGCCCTATATATTATTCGATTTGCATGAAATTTGGCATAGGGTACTGAATTAAGTCTGAAATGATGAGTGGTAAGTTTCGGTAAAATCGGTTCAAATTTAGATGTAGCTCCCATATACAGTTTCGTCCGATTTCATGTAAATGATGCGCCAAAGTCCCTATATCCTTCGATTTGCACGAAATTTGGCTAAAATTCTTCCAAGGGTAATCTATAACTCCTCTACAATTAGGAAACATATTGTTATAATATCCTCCTAATGGTTCTGCTTTGGCTAAATGTGTTCTATAGTTAGGATGCCCTTTTAAAGGGGTTCCATATAATACAATTTTAAAGCTATTGTACAGTTACGAGCCCCTTCCAATATATTTCAATAGTTCGGAGACTCTTCTAAATATGTTCTATACTTAGGATACCTTTTTAAAAGTATTAAATAATTCTAAAATTTGTCTATAATTAGGATATGTTTTTACATTTTGCCATAGTGAGGAGAACCTTCTTAAAAAGTTCTGTAAAAAACCTTCTAAAGATTTTATATTTTTAAAATACAATTCGAAGGGTATTTCATAGGAGTATAGGGAAGTTACAAGAGTTATATGTTTCTCAATAGGTCCCATTTTCGGATTTAATGTAGGATAATAAAACTATTACGAAGTACAATCACTTGATCAATTTGGATAAACCATTAGTTTTTTATGAAATTAAAATTTTAGCTCTTTGTTGAGATTTATCGGAATAAGTGTTACCTCTCTGATCATGGTTGGGCAAAAATATAACGTTTTGGGAGAGATACAAGTATGTGTATAGAGGCTATATAAAAAAGTGATTTTTCATTGTAGTCCCCATATAACGGTACACCAAATATTCGATAGTTTGAAGCTTTGGGGTATGTTTTTCAACGTAATCAGCTGTAGTTTAATCTTTTTGGCTTCTACAGGGTAAAAAATCCTCCAACTAAAATTTAAATTTTTAGGATGGTCTCAATATGGTGGTACCGCCCATCATTATTCGGAATATGGAAGCTTTTGGGCACGTTTGTCAAAATAATTGAATCTAAATAAATATTAGGGATTACTAAACATTATAAGTAGTTCGGAAAAATCTGATCTGATCCAAAACGCTCCAAAATACTGAAATTTTGTGCTACCCAAAAAACGAGAGCTAATTTGGGTAGCACAAAATTTCAGTATTTTGGAACGTTTTTAAACCTAATCTACTGTAATTTGGTATTTTGTGTTCTCACCTAGTGGAAAATCTTCCTACCCATTATAACGGCTAACCCATTTAACGCTATTTGGGGAGTTTTGGCACCTGTTTCACCCACCAGATTGATTGTAATTATACCCTACACAACTATGTTGTCAAGGTATTATAGCTTTATGCAGCCCCAAAAGTTTGTAACGCCGCGAAGTATTGGTCCTAGACCCACCTTTAAGTATACCGATCGTCATATCTCGACTAGCTGAGTCGATCTAGACATGTGTCCTTCCGTCCGTCCGTCTGTCCATTATAATTTGTAACACGATACAGGCCACAGTTATGGACCAATCTTCACGAAATTTTGCATGTAGGATGGGTTCTGGCCAATGAAGACCCCTATTGTTTTTGGTAAAGATCGGTTAATATTAAAGGGATGAAATGGACCAAATACTTAATTTTTGTCGATTTTTCTGGGCGCCCCAGAGGCCGCAGTTATGGTCCGAACATCGTGAAATTTTACATGGAAAAGAATAAGCATGCCTGTTTTTATAAAGATCGGTCAATACTTAGCGGGTCAACTTTTATGGACCATTTACATAAAATCGGACGAAAATTATATGGGAGCTATAACAAAATTTAAACCGACTTTCACGAAACTTAGCACATATTTTTCCAGACTCAATTATGTACACGATGCCAAATTACGTGGAAATCGAAAGAAAAATAGGGACTTTGGCGTACCATTTACATAAAATCGGACGAAAATATATATGGGAGCTATAAAAAATCTAACCCGATTTTCATGAAACTTAGCACACATCATTCTAGACTCAATTCATTACGCTCTGCCAAATTTAGTGCAAATCGAAAGGTATATGGGGGCTGTGATGCACCATTTACATTAAATCGGACGAAATATATATTGAAGCTATACCTAAATCTGAACCGATTCTCACGAAACATAGCAGACTCAATTCAGTACGCGATGCACAATTTCGTATAAATCAAAAGATAAATAGGGACGTTGGCATATCATGTACATAAAATCAGAATAATGGGAGCTACATCTAAATCTGAACCGATTGTCCCCAATTTCAATGGGGTTCGTCCTTGGGCCAAATAAATGAACATTACCAAATTTCATTCAAATCGGATTATAAATGCCACCTGTACTTTGTTTACAATTTATTATTATTATAACGTTATCAAATGATCACATAGTGAATTTATGTTTTTTTTTTTTTTGCTAACCGTGGACCTTTATGACTATTTTGACCTATTATGCAAATTTTGGCAATCAATTTGGTGGAAAATTGTTTCCCACCAAAAATTATCAATTACTATTAAATAGTGATATTTGTTACTCAAATAGAAGTCAAAACAGCAATATACAGTCAATCTGGTTGCAAAATGTGTCCAATTTTTGGGAATAAGGTATATTTATCCGTTAAAAATCAAATATACAAAATTACATATCTAAACTCCAGAATTTAGAATATCTTTATATGGCTACAGGCTACAAGCCTATCTTCTTCGAACTTGGCACTCATGCAAACAAATAAAACATCTGGTGATCTATCCCCTTTAGAGGTGGGAACACTTTTTTACTTGCACCATTTATCCACAAGAATTGAATAATAATTTACTTATTTAAAAACGCTACATTGATATTACTAATATCGTGTTGAGAGACCACTGCATTTGTAGCTCTTTCTCACTCTCAACGATTTCATTTCTCAACACCAAATTTAAAACAAAGGAAAATATTTGATAAATTCACATAGAGCACTAATGCACAAAATAGTACGATAGCGGTGATTGCTAAACACGTATTCTCTTTTTGTCTCTTTTCGACAGTCATTTTTGATGATTATCTCTCTGTTACGCTCTCACATACTTACTCTCAATTAAGTTCTGTTCAACTCTGACATAGAGTTACCATCGATAAACAAATGAGTGAGAGCGAATGAACAAACGCCGATACAAACAAACATATGTTCGATTCTTATAAGAGTTATTTTTGTTGTGCGTTGTATGGGGGGTTCGCTCAATGTATGAGAGAATGAACGAGCGAGCCATCGATTTAGTGGTGAGAAAATGAACTGACTGATAAGTGAATACATTTTGTTGTTGTTGTTATTTTTGTTATTCGTCGATACTTTGTGTGTTCTACTGGTGACAGTAGTCATCAGAACGATTAAAACGAATAACAAGAACAACAGCAACAACAACAATTGGGGACTGGTTAATCAATACAACAACAAGAAGAGTATTTCTACCACCACCAACAACACCTTTACTCGGGTTGTTACTACCTCCAGCACACAAGAAACAACGTCGTATACGAAAAACAAAAACCTATGAACTGAATTGAAAACAAAAACAGCAACAACAACTACGAAATTTACGCTGAGGCAAGAAAAACGCCAAAGTCCCAAAGTAACCGAACAGCCGCCACATTCAATAGAAATTAGTTGCGATCACACCGTGTATACGAGCGGTTGGGATTTTTCCTCGTCTTTCTTTCTGTTTTGTGTGTCGAGATTCAATCGTTCGTTCAGTGGGTTCTTTGTTCGTATGTCTGACAGACATACATTGAAGAGGAGGGTTTCTTAATGGGAACGGTGAAAATATTTTGAACTGTGAATAAGGTCGAGATACAAACAATAACAACAACAAAATCACTCACCACACAACCAGTTGCCGAAAAGCCTTTTTTGTTTTGAATTGAAAAAATAAGAACCGAGTATCGGTTTTCTCGTGGTATTTCGTTTCTTGTATCTTTTCGTAAAGAACACAAAGAAAACGCGTCGTAGTTTTATTTTTTTGTCCCCACTACGAAGAACTCTTGGCAGTGGAGTTTTTGTGGAACTATTTACAAAATTTAACCCATCCATCTATGGGAAAAACGAAATAAATAATAAATAAAAACAAAGATAATTTTTTACTATATCCATGTTTACTGTGATTTGGTTTTGAATAAATAAATAAAAAAAATAAAATAATCTTATCAAAATGGTGGAAAGCGATTTAATAAATAAAAATCTTTTAAGTGACAGCCAGCGGGGCAACAAGGCCCAAATTGTGCCCGTCCAAACCAAAACGCTACAACATCTGCCGAAGCGACCGGCCGTGGATTTGGCCTTTCACAATTTGACATTACGTGTCAAGGAAGGAAATCGTAGCAGTAAGTATTACAACAATACAAACCCCAACAACAAATTTTTTTCTTTACAACTATTTTAACTTAATTAGAATTCGAGGGTATGAAATTTCCATATTTTTTTTCTGCTGAACTGTTTCTTCTCTTTTTGTTGTATTTCTGCCCCTTGTTGTGAACTTTTGAATATTTATTTCAATTCTTCTTCGTATTTTTTTACATTTACATTCCGACTAGCTATGTAAATTTCCATTGTCTACGATTTCACCGTGTTTTTTCTTTTATTCTCAATTTTTTAATTCATTTTTTAATTGCCTGCATTTAATTTTACTGATTCACAGATTCTTTCGTTTCTTTTTTTTTAATTTTTTGTTATTCTACTCATTTTCGTAATATGCATATTCTTTGTCTGTTGTTTTGTTTGCTTTGACTGACAGTCGCAGTATCTATCGGTTCCTCTGCCTTCTCTTTCCCTCATAAAATTGATTAATAATTTTATTATTTGATAGTGATCTTCCTCTCTTCCCATTCTCTTCTTCTTTTTATTGAATATTCTGATGATTTTAATTCTGATGATTTTTTTTTTGGTATTTGGTATCTGCTGCTATGTTTTCTGGCTTACCCGCTGATCAGAATATCTATCCAATGGAATTTTATTCGTTCTAATAAGAATCATACTTGTGCGATCTCTTTTGTGTTTATTTACATTTTATACGGAGGCCGCAGAGCTACCAGATGTGTGTGAATTTTGAATGATTGGGGATTGCTGTGGAATTTTTTATTCTTAATTAAATCATGAATAAATAATTTTAGAATGCGGAATTATTCTGAATAACTCAAATTAAATTTTGTTTTACTACCCATCCATTATTAGGTAATGTTTATATTAAATATGTCGTTCCGTTTGCAACAACTCGAAATATACATGGGGGACCCTATATGAGATACATATTTTTTATTAAATTAAAATTCTATGCTCTATTCTATTCTTAGGAGATTTTTTTTAACCCAACACCATGAGATCCTAATCTCTTAGCCTAAATGATCACTCCCAAGCCAGGATGGAAAATAAACAATTGAAAAAAAAACGTTAATGAATTACAACAAATGATTACAACAAAGTCTTAAAACCACTATTATAATATACAAAACGGGAAAATGGGAGTGGAACCAAAAAATGGGTCTATATTTTTAATTTTTAATGGAAAGATTTGCTACCCAATCAGAATTCAAAATACTAAATTACAGTTAATTCGGCCGAAAAATACGATCAGAAACCCCAAAATACCGAAAATTTGGTGGTATCGTTATATGGGGATTTCCAGAAAAAGTGGACCCATATTTATATATTTTAGTGGAGTTAATTTGGTACCCCATAAGAATACAATTTACCAAATTTCAGCGAATTCAGTTATAAAACGTGCCCAAGAACCCCAAAATACCGAAAATTGGGGGTACCCTTATATGGGGGCTACCAGATAAAGTGATACCCAATAAGAACTCGGCCATTCCATTATAGTAGTAGTTTCGGCTACGGAAACGTGCCTAGGTTAGTCTGTGGGAGACCATTATGAAGCTGGGCAGAGGCAATAGTCTGTTGGTGACCCGTGGTTCAACTTGTAACAGCTTCGGCTATGATCCTGACCGTGCTGGTGGTAGTATATACTCAAACCGCGTGTAGAGCTTTGGCTCGGTGTGGAGTTGCATTACAGCCGTGTGCCTGTCCCATAGAAAGGCAGGGGTTTAAATGGCCCGGCTTCTCCTCCAAGAAGGTTATCAAGTCCAAATACATGTGATCGATTGGTACCTGAATTTTGGTGTGGGGGCGTTGATTGACGCTTTGTTTTAAATAGTGTTTACAGCACCATTAGGTTAGACCGCAAGGAAGGTACCCACGCACTCTAAGCATACACCGGAGATTGATCGATGTTAATGTAATTGGCAGAAGTCCTAGAAACGTCCCCCTTTTGACAAGGAAGAATACCAAGGCTAAGTTCAATTTTCAAAATCTCATATAGGCTGGCCACTGGAAACTGGCGTAACATTTTATGGACAGATGAAACAAAAATTGACTTATATAGTGGACTAGGCTCCAGACAGTATGTTCGAATTGCCGGTGTAATCAAGCCCTACGACAAACTTATGGTAAAAATTGCCAAACCATCCGTGAGCGGAACTTAAACTAGATTTAGGCTCATAAATTTCATTAAATATTGCTTACTTTATGTCAAATGTCTCTGATCGAACAAAGCTCGATGTCGAGGGTTAACATTTTTGTTATTCGTTGGGAAATCATTTAATAAAAGAGTGAGTTTTTGTGCGACCTCAGCGTATGCGGTTTGAAATCAGTGAACCGTTTGTATTTGAACGGAGCCCATCGATATCCTTGCCATGGACCGACGCCTATGGATTCAGATACATTTTTTTAGAAAAATAAACTATTCGACAGTGCCTTGATACCTTAATTTTTTAACTTCGAAAATGCTATAGAAACCAATATCTGAACTCGAAAACTGACTTTTCGATAAAATCTGAAAGAAAGGATCTTAAACAACACAAATGACAACCAATCCGACAGAGTTAATATTTTTTTCAACCGCATTGAGGTATAAAGTAGATTTTCAAGAGAGCATCCCAGCCGATATATGGGACAATTCTTCTTTCACAATATCTAATACGATTCTTCTTTCCGAATATCCCAAATTAAAATCTAGAACCAAAATCAGAAAGTTTTGCACAAAGTTTGCAATATTTTTTATTTAAACACGTTTATTGACTATAAAATTAGACATTAACATTTGTATTACCCTTTTTACAACAGCCAAAGCAAAGTCTCTTCCATTATATTTACGTCTATAAATATTTAATTATACCTTATTTTAATTAATAATGTTGAGATTTTATTTAAACCTGTTTGCTTTTCAAACTTTCATTTGAAAAAAATACATTCAAAATATGTTGAGTTTGAAGTGTTTGATTAACAGAGTTCTCTTTGTTCGATTATAGCCGCAGGCTTTGCTAGAATTTGAAGATTTCTAAGCACCATCTGTTTACCGTATTCTTATTTATTATTTTTTTTTTTGAGAAGATAGCTATTGATAGCCGTACATGGAATGTGTTAATAACAAATTTAAACGAGGAAATATTTTTTTTTTTAACTGACTGACATATGTTTGCATTTGCAGACATATGGACAAGTTTTGGTGGCACTTCTCAAATGTTAATTGGATAATAATTGTGGTTTAGAAATTGTGAGAATATAGAAAGAAGAGAGAAAATTAACAAAACTATAAAATTGCAAACAGATAAATAAAACATATGAATTATTTACAAGTATATGTAAAATAATCCGTAAATTAGAAAGGAGTTGCTACCATAACAGAACCCAAGGGGTGATCACATTTAGTACAAGAAGAGCTAGAGTGGCAAAAGAGTTGCATCGTGCATTGTAGACATCTGGGAACAGCTTAGACTGTACCCAGTAAATACCATAATAAATGTATAAGCGTTCATAGGTTTACTACGGCAAATATAACCAGTAAGGAAAGTAGTAAAGTCGGACTGGGCCGACTATATGATACCCTTCACCACTTTGGGGATATTCTACATATTTATCTTTACAGATTTTATGTAAACTTTACGTACGTTATTTGGTATGCTTCACTGTTTAAAATCGTACATCAATCAGGCACCCGTTGATTATTTGGTTTACAATCAACATGAATAGGTCGAAATTATATATGGAAGCTATGCTATATCTATATCTGAACCAATTTCAAGAAAACTTGACACATGAAAGATTATAGTAACTTCAGTACATTGTACAAAATTGTGTGCGGGTCGGCCAATCTTTGGGTCTTTAGTGCACAATTTGCATTAAATCGGAAGAAAATATATATTGGAGCTATATCTAAATCTGAACCAATTTTCACGAAACTTAGCACACATCATTCTGGACCCAATTCAGTACCCTATGCCAAATTTCGTGCAAATCGGAAGATATATGTGGACTTTGGTGCACCATTTACATTAAATCGGACGAAAATATATATGGGAGCTATATCTAAATCTGAACCGATTTTTCTCAATTTCAATAGGGTTCGTCTTTGGGCCAAATAAGTGACATATGCCAAATTTCATCCAATTCGGATCATAAATGCGACCTGTACTTTGTTTACAATTTAACATCTACAGACGGACGGACGGACATGCATAAATCGACTCAGAAAGTGATTCTATGCATATTCTCAAAAAGAACCATGTGTCTATCTCGTTTCCTTTTGCCTGTTACAAACATATGCACAAAGACATAATACCCTGTACCAGTGTGGTGAAGGGTATAAAAATGGAATAATCACACATATGTCCGATATATATTTATCGATTTCTATGGCCAGTGTCTTTATTATTATAGCAAATTTCCCAATGGATAGGTTGCTTCTCACAAAGAATACTTTTATTTACTTTTTGCACTATTTCCAATTGAATTTTGGAAGAATCTAAAATAAATCCATCATCAGTTTTACTTGACAAAAACAAGCCTATTATTCGCAGTTCTCATTAGCTTTACAAAGAATCAAGTATTCGACGATAATGAGATTTTTAACACACATGGACGAATTACAAGGGAACAAAGTGCAATGAAATAAATATCGGCAATTTATAAGCATATAACAATTATATTCAGATGGGCAGAGAGGAATGATTTGAATTGTGTATATATAAATTCATTTACTGATTATCATTTAAATATATTCATAAATAAAAAAATTCATATACACACAATAAACACCCAATAGATTAAAATTATAATTGAAAACAAAAAATAAACAACAATGCATAATGTGGAAAATGCAATTAATCATATATAGCAATAAAAAAAATTGATTATATCAATTAAAACGCAAATAATATAATAATAATAATAATAGGAAAAGCGACTGTACATGATTTTTAAAAAGAAAATATATAACGTTTTTATTTATTTATTAAAATGAACAAACTTATAGTACATTTACATTGTACCG